TTTACATTAATTGGATATTTTTTGAAAAATTTACTTTTATTTTTTACAATTGGTTATAAATACTTTAGGAGGTGTTTTCTGAAGTCATAAGGAGTTAAAAAATACAATAAAAAAAATATAATTTTTTTAAATTCTAAAGTGTAGTCAAAAGTATTATCTTCGTACACATTTTCAGGATATTTTTTGGGAAAAAAGTTGTATGGTTAATTATGGGCTAATATGTAAAACACTTAATGCATCTTAGTTTTTAGTAGCTTACATTTTTGTCGCATTTTACAATTCACATGACGTTATACTTATCGCTAAATATATTATTGCTCCAGAAACATCTTAATTTAAGATACTTTAAAAAACTTGCCAAAAGTAACTTATACTTTTCTATGATGGAAGAAATAACTGGATCGCTATTAAATCGTATAAAGCATCTTAAATATCAGTTAGATACTTCAGAAAACATCTTATTTTAAGATGTCAAAAAATACACCTATTTTTGCAGTGATAACCACTAAACAACAAATTTAGTAAGTTTTTATTTATTAATTTCATTAAATAGATTACTAAGTTTGATGGCGTCTTTGCTGAGTGCGACTGGTAGCTTCAACCGGCTGAAATATTCGTATAATGTTTTCATGAAATATTTTAAATTTACATATACTATTATACAATTACAATATTCTAATAGAATATCTCTACATTATTCCAAAGAAACATTCCAAAGTTTGGACATTTTAATATTTCTAAAATGTGGGTAAAATATTCTAGAGGATAAGTTTACCAATGTTTATATAGAAAATTTTAGAAATGTGAATAAATAATATTCCCTGCTATTGTCAGTATTAATAATTTTTTAATTTATTTTGAAATGAAAAGTATAGGGGAGACCGAGGTGAGTTGAAACGATTTTCACGTTATCCAGTATAACTCAGCCAAAAATTGTCCTATTTTTATGAACTTTGTATTTTTGGATAGGTAGTTTTGTGTAGTATGTGAATCAAAAATGAAAAATTTAAAAAGTTGTAAGGATTTACAAAAAAATTGCAAAATTCAAAACAGTTGTTTTGTTACAAAACTCACCTAGTAACAAGGTGAATTGTAACACATGTCGACGTTATACACGCATAGAAAGGGTTTGCTGTGGCAGCGAACATTTTGCTGCCACAGCAAACCTTGTTCGTTGAAATAGGGACAGCGAACAAGTTCGCTGTGAGATCAAACAAGTTCGCTATGACAGCAAACTCGCATAAATTTTTACTAATGTTCGCTGCCACTGCAAACTTCTTAGCTGTGGTAGCTAATTTTCAGAGATTTTACAGCAAACATCTGTTTACTGCTGCAGCTAATTTCTTTTTTTCCGTGTATTTATGGCAGTATCATATGTAAATATATTTTTTTTTAGTGTACATTTCAAGATTATGTTCTCCCCTCTCGACTGGTATCTTTGACCTTAATTTTGAAGTTATTGTAGACTTCTCTGTAAGTTTTGACCTAAAATTTAATGTTTTTCTTGTATGCTAACTTCTATAAATATTATTTATTTGGTACCTACTTTGATTTTTTTTAATTTAATTAATGTTCACATATGCTGCAAGTATTAATAATTTATATTCGATAAACACATTCAGAAATAAATAAACTGACAAGAATTATAAAATTTTTAACATATAGAAATATTTATGTATATATTGTGTTTGATGAATAAAAGAAAATATTTCGGTGTAATAAATTAATAATTTTGCAAGAGTTTGAGAAAGACGTTAAAGCTCAACTTCTGACGCGACGAACGACAGGTTAATTAAGGAGAATGTTGATTTATAGTACCGGATCATAATTCAAATCACTTAATACCAGACTCCCTGAAAAAAATGTTTGAGATGGACCCTCTTGTGTGTGTATATAGTATAACTTATTCAATCTAACAGCCACTCTTGCTTAAAACCTGTTAAAATTTGATATACACATCGATTTTGATCATCTTTGTCTATTTGGAGCATTTTTATTTCCATGTCAAGTAAACGAAAAAAACATGTTTTTGTTTTTAAGTTTTAGCAAAAGAAGAGAAAGAAAAGGAAAGTTTTCAATAATGGGGAAACTTAAAACAGAATCTCTGTGCGTCTTTTTTTCTCACATTTTTGTATATCTAGCAAGAGATGAGTGTTAAGTAATAAAAAAATTTGCACATATATTAGTTTTCAATAAGTTTTAAATTCTTATTTGAAAAAAATAAAAATTTTGAAAAAAGAAATTCATTCCAATGGAAAGCGAACCTAGAGTGTTATCGACTAAAGTTGATAATAAACCTTCGAGGAACTTTTTACGACTTCAATGTAACGTTGTTATGACTGACTTTTAGGATCGTAAAATGATCAATAAGGGTCTCGTTTGCGATCTATATGGAAGGTATTACAGCTCCTTAAAGGTCACCGGTAATATTTTTTTCATTTTTTTTGAAAAATTGTTTCATCAGAGAATGCCAATGTTTTAATACCTTAATTTATTTTTAGAATTAGGTTATCACATATTTCGTTTTCTTTAACACTAATTATAGATATTTTAAACCAATCTTTGGTATTTAATTACGATATTTAATTACAATTTGAGCTTTATAATAGCTAGAAATAATATTATATAATATATTTTATAGAAATTTAAGAATAATAAAATTTCGTCTGCGAATTTTTAAGAAGAGTAAGAAAATTAGTGAGATCAATATAAATCAAATTAAACCAAAAACTAAATTAAAAATGAGCAGTAAGCTCAATAACAACAAAAAACCTATAAGTTGAAATTATTTTTGACTTTTGTATATGAAAGAGCAACTCAAAAAATGTTTTTATTAATATTTTTTTTCCTTTAGAAAATATGAAAGTGATTTTAACGAAAATTTGTAAAATTCTAAATACTTTTAAAGCCATAATATAAAACAATATACTTTTGCAAAAATCAAAACAGTCTCTATTCGATCAAGCAAAACTTTGCGTAAACCTAAGTGAGTTGAAACAGCCTGTTACAACTCGCCTAGGTGCGAAAAACTGGGCATCGGTTCGAATAATTATTTTTTATTTTAAATTTCGAGACTGACACAAAAAAACAAAACCATTTCATGAAACTAGGATATGCAACTGTTATTAAGGTTAATATTAGAATAATAAAAATGTAATATGTGTCAAATAATAAAGTACCTACTCACCTCGGTCTCCTCTATATATATATATATATTAAATTTTGTAAAAGTATTTGGTTAATTGGGGAAAATGTGCAACAAAGCAAACTTTTGATATAAAAAATACTTTTGCAGAATTTTTGAAAAAAGTGTGCTCCATATTGGATCCCCCATATTAAATTTTTGAAAAACGAACACCGGATCTGTAATCGTTTTTAGACTGGGACATTTAATTATAAAAACTGGACAACATTTTTTCATAAAAAATAACACTTTTGTTAAAGTTTGCAATAAAAAAATTATTTTAGACAAATAGAAATTTTAAAATCGGTCTCGAGAAATCTCTTCCAAATTTTATAATCTTTCATTTAAAAAAAAATTTATTAAAATTGGTTAAGAAATTAGGGCTTTAGAGAATTATGAACATTAAATTCCAGTTTGGTCTCACTGTGCGCTATACTGACTGCAGAAAATTAAAAAAAACTTTGTGTGGAAATTAATTTTGTTGGATTATTTTATACTTGAATTAAACGCAATTCTTATTGAATCAAACTTATTTGTGTTGAATCAAAATTATTATGTTTAATTCAAAAATAATGTTTGGTTTACTGTATAACAAAGATAATTATGTTTGAATCAAACATATTGTTTTCTCAGTTATAGTTTTCATAGTGTTTACAATAATAAAATTAATAATAATATAACATAATAATTATTGGTATTAAACATAAATAATAATAAAAATAGTAAATAAATAAATGCGGTACTGGCTTTACAGTCAGTACCGCACCAGAATTGGCATAAGCCAATACTGATTATCATTACTGTCCCGGTATTACGTCGGTGTTGCGCTATTACTGGTTTACAGTACTGCGCCGACACTGGCCAGTACTGACTGTTGTCAATTTTTTATTGGGTAAGAGTGACTTCAAAAAATAAGTTGCAAAGTGAAATTTATTGATTAATAAGGAATAAAATAATGAAAGGAAATAATCAATACTGTAATTACTTTATGTAAATATGATTTTTTATTAAAGTTTAATAAACAAATAACATAATATTTGTATCTTAACCAACAAATAATAAATGTTTTTAGTTATTTATGTCTGAATAGACTTATAAAATTTGGGGTGCTTATGAATGCTTTAATTCTTTTACGCAGATATTTAATTTTATTCGAAAGCTTATAAAATTCTACGATAAATGATACATAACTGAAAATTTTAATAATTCATACAAAGATTTAAGCAATCGTCAAATTTGACAAAAAAATTAAATTTTTTTGGAATTTTTTTTAAACTTTTGCATATTTTTTAAAAATTGCAGAAAAAATTGAAACTTACACAGGTTCAGTACAGATAATAATTTCCAACGGTAACATATGAATCCATTATCACGAATCCGATGAACCTTTATAAAATTTCTCGACATTTTCAACTTTTAAAAACTGACGTTGCATTCGTAATCATCGACCCCAAAAACCTCCGAGTAACAAAATTCAAATATATTAGATAAACTTAAAAAAATGTCAGCCATATTGGATTCGCCATTTTGAATTTTAAGAAACTAACTTTGAATTCGTAAACAGCGTCACCGCAGATACCCTTGAGTTCCAAGTTTCAGGTAATTTTGAATTTAATTTGAATTTGATAGGAAAAAGGTTGTGTTTTTAAGAAAATTGACTGAAAGTTCAAATGTGTGTAACTACGTTAAAAATAGTATTCTTGAAAAATAAGAAAATACGTGTCACTTTATTTTTCATATAGAAATAATCTGCTAAGAAAAAGAAGGCGAAAAAAACGTATAGATTACTATAGTAACAGTGGGTTTTTGGACTGACCTTTGCACTCGTTGGCGTCCCTGGCAGTGGCTCGAGCCCAAGGCCTGTCGAAATAGAATGATTTACACTTTTCGCAATCTCTACCGGCAGTATTGTGACGACAATCGCAAGCAATTTGCCCATCCTTGCCGGTGATGCATTTCGCCGCGTGGCCATTGCACTTGCACCTGCCGCCGACCGCGAAGTCTGACACCGCATAATGATGAGCCAAAGTGGTACCGGCAGTAGTCGACAGTATGGTCGTAACTGGAGCCGAGGTCGTTCCCCCAATGCCCACGAAACTCATCTCCTGAGGATCGAGTGCATCATTAGATTGCATCTCTTGCGGCGCGAACACCTGATGGACCGACGGCAGTGCCGTCACCAATGGGTCATTATGTCTCAGATAAAAACTCTTCTTCATCTTCTCCTCACGCTCCCTCTCCTTCTTGTTAATCTCCTCGAGTCCCATATTATTGTCCTCGGGTCCCATGTTCGCGAACTGCTCCTGAACCTGTGGCATGTAGAGCCGGTTGAAGACCACTCGAATGTCAGTCGCCGTCACCCAGTCCTGGAGGACCGGCGAGTTGTCGAAGTCGGCGGCCGACGGCCGGCCCTCGAGGGTGCTGAAGGCGATCCTGCCCACCGGCCCCAGCCCGTCGCCGCCGCTGTAGCGGTGGCTGTCCGTGCACCTCGCCTCCTGCTCGTTCGACTTGGTGATCGTGGCCCGGTTCGGGCGCCCGTAGACGCGGCGGCACTGGGACGAGTAGAACTGGAATGGCTGCCACGTCTTCCCGTAGTCCATCGACTTGAAGATCGCTATCGAGTCGGGCTTCGCGGCCTTGGGGCAGAATTGCAGACTCACGTAAGTGAGTTCGTACTTCTTCCCGAGGGAGAGTGTCAGCGTGACGTTGTCGGGCGGTGCGGCGAAGCTCTGCGACGACACCATTGGCTCGCTCCGCCAGCATGTGACGTTCGTGGGATTATTCAAATCTGTCAGGTAGCTCGGCGGGAAGCGACGTCTCGGAGTGCTGTCGTCGCACACGTGGCACTGCCCGATGCCGGTGCTGCCTCCCGGTTGCTCGAAGACATCGCAGTACCTGGTGGGGCCGCCACTGCCGCAGGTCGACGACGCCTCCACCGTCGCTCCGTAGGCCGCGTTCACGAACACCGGAATGCACCTGAGCGGTCGGTCCTCGTCGTAGCACGGGTCGGACGGACTCTGCTGGCTGGAGAACATCTTCGCGTAGATCTCGCTGCCGCCGTGGACCCCATTCGGTTTTACGACACATACGACAGTTAAGCAGATAATCAAAATTATCCTCGACATCTTGATTCGCTTTTCTCGAAAGTTTCTTATTTTTTTTTTAGAAAACAACTTTAATTTTAACTCCTTCTGGACGAAATATATCTTCTTCGCAGAATACTTATACCAGACACATCATTTTCAATTATTTTGCACTTTTCTTTTAAACGAATTTTCCGAAACTAGTCGTCGTTCTTAATCGTATACACTTTTCCTCACGATAAAACTGTCTTGACGCGTTCACCAAAGTTCTTCCTCTTCGTCGCGAATTTAATGCACCAGCATCCTCGGAAGCTGCGCGCAAAATCCTTGAATCGCCCCCCTTCACCCTTGCTCAAAAAACTCTTTCGGCTCACATAATTCTGAATTCTCCCCAACCATTTGAAGATCCTTTCAATTTCTTAGTAATTTTTATAGAAGAAAAAAATTCACCAAAAAAACTTTTCTACAAAATTAATTATTAACAATATTATTTTTAAGTATCCATAATAATTTAATGTAAAGAATTTATATTAATATTATATTTGCTATTTATTATTAATATTTTAATAATTTTAATTGTATTTTTAATACAATTTTCAATTTAATTTTTTTTTTAATTTTGTCACATTAACAATTTATCACATTCGGATTTTTTTAAGTGTAAAATATTATTGTCATTTAATTGTTTTTTTATACGCGTTGACACGAGTCGCCGGTAAAAAGATGAATCGAACTTTGAAAAAAACACACTTATTCGTTGTGGCGGCTTCCCGCTAACTGAGTCTCGCTCTCGCGGTTGTAGATTCAAGCGAACGTTTTGAGTCCCTCCCTGTTAGTTTACCCTCCCCACCCCCTTCCTCTCAACGCCCCTACCACCCTCCATCGCCAATAGCTTCTCTCGTCTTTCCCCTGTTCCCACCTCAACCCCCCTCCCCTCATTTAACACACGTAGCCGATGGAGCAAAAGGGATGCTGCATTTAGTTCAAGGAACAGAGTTTGTTAAGAAACGTCACTTCTTGTTAAGAAAAATGTTTAAAAAATCATTAAAAAAAACCCGACGAAAGGGTTAAAAAATTTTGGCATAATCTTTTAATTATTTCCCAAGATTTCTCTTTAAATTAATCTCATTAATAATTAATTTTATTGTGGAAGCAAAACATAGGGAAAGGATTAAAATTCTTTCATACTATATAAATTTGAATCATAAATATATATAATCCGCTTAAAAGCAAAAAATCAGTCGACTTTTTTATCTTGAATATAAAAATTAGTGTCACCTTAGTAAATTTTTATTAACTGATTCAATTAGTTAAATTTGACTGATCTTACAATTATTTTTACTTCTAGTCAGACATGCTTTATACTATAATAATCATTAGCGACAATCATTTATTCTTCTCTGCTTAAATTCAAACAAGTATAAAGACTAATAAATTACCAAATTATTCTAATTATTTGCCTCGTTAATTGTAATTATTAGTTACTTAAATATTCTTATTGTTTTGTTAATTATATAGATAATTCATTAATAAAGTCCTTTTAGTTGTTTACCCAAGTACGAAATGCCGAGACTGCAAAAACAGCACATCATCGGTCTAGTATAATGTCTGCCGAGAATTGTCCATAGTTACTCGGTCATTTCTTGTGTTTAAAACGTCGCATTGCTGGGTCAATGATGGCGCCGATTGTCACACTGTTAACTTAAAAGTATCAAATTGCAACGAAATGATTCCAAAAATGCTAATCAAATTAAAAGTTAATCCAAATTTTTGGCATCAATTTGATCCACTTTAGTATCAATTTGATACTTTCAAGAAAACTGTGCAGATATTCTAATTTCCCAAGACAGGACCGACTCTCGGCCCAATTATGGAACGCTCACGGCAAAGTTAATGAATCTTTAATGGCAAAATATACAATTGCCAATGATGTGACGAACATCGGCCCAGTAATGGCTCATTATTGGCAAAAACTTCGTATCTTTAATGACAAATTGTAATTGCCAGTGATGGGATGTAGCGCGGTCCAATAACGGCACATTAAAGGTAATAATTTTGTATATATGATAGCAAATTATAATTGCCATTAACGGGACGTAGCTTGGCCCAGTAATGACACATTATAATGGATAAAATTTTGTATCTATACGGTAAATTATAATTTTCAATATAGGACGTAGCTCGTCCCAATAATAGCACAGTATCGGCCAGTAGTGTAGTTTATAAAAACCCCTTTGCTTACTCGACTTCACGTCAGACTAGCAGAGTGGTCAGAGTGTTAGGTTTTGGTGGTATCGCTCAAGGCATTTATTTAGATAAAAATGGCTTCATTCTAAATTCAGAAATGGTGCCTTTTCTGTACCACGTCTTAAGGCACTCATGGGACAGAAAAATCACATACAATGAAAAGGACGTGCTGGAAGATCCTAGCATTTTGAAATACTCTATAAATAATTTTGATAAGTGTGATAAAATAAGAATGATGGATTTTTTTTGGCATTGCCGAATTTGGTGGTGTAAGCCATACCCTTTTTTTGAGGTACTACTACACTTTAGAATTTAAAAAAATTTTATTTTTTTATTGTATTTTTTACCTCCTTATAACTTCAGAAAACATCTCCTAAAGTATTTATAACCAATTGTAAAAAATAAAAGTAAATTTTTCGAAAAATATTCAATTAATGTAAAAAGTCATTGACAAATTAAGTCAGTCTTTAAGGGGTTGGTGGGGTCCAGCTTTTTGTTACGACCAGTAGAAACATTAGTGCTATAATGTATGTAACAGTGTCTGACATAAAAAAGTGGAGGGGTTTTAATTTGCAAAAGAATTTTAGGTAATTTATGGATGGCCTCTAACGATACATATAAGGTTTAAACGCGTTTTTCTCAAAATAACGTTTTTTCAAATTGCAGACACTTTATCTCTGAATCTACTGAACCGATTTTAATAAATAATAAGTTGTTTTGTTTATAGCATGTCCTGTGTGTGAATTGACCAGAAAATAGTCAAAAAATTAAAGAAAACTTTTTTGCAGACTAGAAAAATACTGAAAAACGTAGTGTATTTTTAATCAAATTATTGAAACATCTGTTATTTTTTTATTTTAGTCGATTTTTCATTATTGGTGGTGGATTTCTATGCAAGACACCTTTCTTTTTAAAAAGCAGTTTGGATTTTTTGTTTCTGATTTGTCAATCTTGAGATAACCCAGGTAGAAATTTCAACTCTATAATGACCAGTCACTGGGAAGTTTTTCTAGATTCTGGGCAGTAATTGACCAGAAAATCTGGCAAGTGATTAATTGGAAATGTAACGCGCTACTTGAGCAGTTACTGGTTAGATTATCTGGCCAGTGACTGGCAAGTAACTGTCCAGTAACTGAACAGTTTTCTCCTCAAAATCTAGAAGAAAATATAATTTTTCCCGGCTCTTTTTATTTTGTTTATAATTACATATTTATTTATATTTTTGTGATTATTCAAATATTTAAGACTAATGAACAATTACTCTAAAAATAAGTTTAAGAACTGAAGTTCTATTCCGATTGTGACCAGAATTTCTGGCCAGTGACTTGTCAGAAGTAATGAATGATCAGAAATGATGACCAGATAAACTGTTTAGTCACTTGTCAGAGACTTGACGGCTTATCTTGTCAAAATTTAGAAAAATGTAAACTTTGGTAATAATGTGACAGTGAAACGATCATAATTTTTATATAAAGTTACTTTAGACTTTTCTGTTTTTGACCGTATGGAACATAAAAATTATTTTTAATATCTAATTATAAATGATTGAGTAAGAGTGTATTTTTATGGGACTAGTGCTTTGTTTTTTTCCTTAGTAACTGGCAGTTTCTGAGTCCGCAGTTTCTTTTTTTAATAGTGTCAAGATTTTTTGGCTAGAGATTTGGAAAATCTAGAATAATTCCTTTAATAGGATTCGGCAAGTTTTTCTGATCAGTGGTGGACCAGTTTTTCTGGATAGAATCTTAAATAATTATTCAAATCAGTGACTGGCCAGTGTCTGGAAAGAAATTCTTATCACTGTAATGATCAGAACTGTTTGCAAAGAGGAATTGTTTTTATCCAGTGAAACTGGCCAGTCAGTCATTCAGGACTGGCCAGATTGCCTTGGCAAGTAAAACTTGCTCTCGACTCTACAGCTACTGGAAGAAAACAAGTAATACTTGACAAATTTCTACCTGGGAAACTGTCCGCAATTGGACAATTAACTTTTTGGAGTATCGATCTGAATGCTGTCTGCAGATCATGATATACCTATTAAATAAAAATTAAAAACAAACTATTATTTTTATTCTCCAAACATTATACACTTTTACCATTTAAAATCAATGCAAAAAGTGCCCCTTAATTTAAGATCCGGAGCCTCATATGCCAGACGTTTTTTTTTGTTTGTACGTAAATTGTATTTATAAATTGTTCTATAAAAATAAATGAAAAAAAACAAAAAAAATTAGGCTTTGGTGCGTCAGGTTGAGGTATTGATCCCCAAGTAGAAATGTCCGGAGTTAGGACGGAGTTAAACACCAGCATGGTACTGACTCAGTACTGACCGTCGGTACTGACTTTCGGAACCCGATCAGTACTGGGAGTATACTGACTCCAAAACCGAATCAGTAATACGTCGGAGTTAAAAAAGTATTAAAATCAGTACTGGCAGAAAACTGGCATAACACCAAATCAGTACTGCGAAGGAGTTAAAAAACAAACAAAATTTGTTATAATGGCATTAAATCGGACACTATTAATAACAACAACATCGTTTGATTTATTAACTATTAAAATATTTTCCAAGATTTTTAAAAACATTATTCATCAACAATAACATCAGACACTTAATTAATATATTATTAATTATTAATTAATAGGTATATCATAATAATAATAAATTATTATTTATTAATTTTTTTTACTATTATGTATTATTAATACACGGAGAAAACTGGAGTATTGGACTAAACATCTGGAGGGACAAATCGTTTATATTTTAGAGTTAGGTATTGGATAACAATCTAAATGTTCAAATTCCCCATTGACAGATATTCGTGCCATTTCTCTAACAGAGGGACAAATTAACCATCTTGAGAAATCCCTTCCTTATCCGGCGCGAAATGAATAAATATGTCAACCTAACCCCTAAATTAAATACATAAAATGTCAGAAAAATAATTTCGCACGCATCAGATCGTACACATTTTCTGCGCAACTTTTAACTCTCAGATATAATGGGAGAGAATATACAAGTAGATTTCCATTATCAATTCAAAATTTATTTTAGAAAGACTATTTAACTCTCTTCATAAGCAAAGGAAACATACACTTTTTGAACCTCTGAATTTGACTCTCCAGTTTTCTCAGTGTAATAAAATTTAAAAAAAATTTTAAAAATGTATAAATATATATTTTTTATTATTATTTTAATAAATAATTAAATTATAAATAATAAATATTTAATTAATTTAAAAATAATAAATAAATAATAATTAATAAATAATTAAATTAATAATTTTTTGTCATATTTTTATGCTATACATATTAATTAATATATAACGTCTTGTTAAAATGTATATATAAATATATAAAACATATATTTATAATAACTTTTCTTTAAATTAACTATAATAATCTTCGTATTCTTTCATTCAGTCTGTCCAGAGCGTGTACATTCTGTCCGCAGTGAGAGAGAAAGAGAGGTAAGTATCGCCTGTCCTTTTAGTTTAGAGTAGGAGCGAGAGAGAGGC